ACTTGAAACTAGCTGCCATCTTGGCAAAGACAGCAATAGTAAATACATGAGTGCCTCCTTACATTTGGAAAGTATTCCATTATTGATCATTTAGGTTTTCAGGGATGAGTTTAATTGAATACTATGTAAATTTGCAAGGCAAGCTGTTGAAAATCGGTTATCCTGTTCCTCTACTCTCCATGTTTTCTGTAAATTGGTTTTGAAACTAGAGGCTTGATGACAAAAACAAGCAAATAAATAAAACCTCAACTTTATATAGTTCATAGTCTTCAGCAGACTACCAAAGGGGTCCAGAGCATACTAACAAGTAAATCACCCTCATTCCAGTTGCCAGATGATGAGGGAGTGGAGAACGGCTCTTGGGGAAGGAGAGACAGGCTAAGGAGGCGGGGCTTGGGATAGCAGCCCTTTCAACTGAATGGGAAGCATCACCCTTCTTCAACCACTGGTCTGGCAGATCCACTGTGCACCCTGCAGGCCAGCCTGAAGAGGGAGTGAGCCATAGATTCCCCATAATATTTGGATTTTCTTGTTCTACCCTGAGGCAGGACCCTCGTAACACCCTTGAGGAGTCAAAGCAGTAGTGACTGGTCCACTAGAGATAGAATCTGAGGTGCTGAGTTGTCAAGTGACTGGCCTCTTCAGTGTCGATAGCTCATCAGCATCAGAGCCAGGAGGAGTCCCACCCCCACCCTGTCTTCTCCCTCCTCCTACTGTCCAGGGATCCTCTAGGTTCCTAGGGAAAGTCCCAAGAGCCAAATGCAGTAAGTTGCCCCATTAGCAGCAAGACCAGTGCCAGATGCATGGAGACTTAAAAGGAGGCAGGGGACCAAGGCCTTTCTCCGCTGGACCTCCTCCAGGCCCAAGGGACACAGGCCTCTCCTCAGTGTGAGTTCTAACCTGGTAATTGCTCCAGGGATGAGGATTTAAGACAGAGGCCTCTCCTTGTCTGAGATTAGAACCTCAACCCAACTCTACTTAGCAGCTGTAGTGAGGATTGTTATCAGAGTGGTGCCTGATAGTCCTCTTCCTGATACTGATCTCAGCCTAACAGTCTCTCTTCCTCCCTTCTATATATAGCTTCTCTATAGGCTTGTAGGAGCTCTGGTAGCATAGTGCCTAAGGCACTTGACTGCTCACCAGAAGGCTGGCGGTTCAAACCCACCAGTCACTCCTCGGAAGGAAGGTTGGGCAATCCTACTTCCGTAGTGATACTGCCTCAGAAACCCAAGGAGGGGTCGCTATGAGTCGGGGCCGACTCGACGGCATATAACAACAACAACAACATAGGCTTGTACCACACAAACAACAAAACCCTGTATCTGTATACAGTTTCATCTCCAAACCAACCCCCCTCCCACCCACATGCCCCTTCCTCACCTTCGTGGCAGCTGACAGTTGCTCACCACTTGCTTCGAGGTGAAATTCTTTTTTCCTTTAGTTTCTAACATAGCCTGCTCCAAATCAGGCCTCTCCGGCTGTTGCTTTCTTTAACCCTTGTTCCCCTCCCTCGGCCCTGCTCTCCAACCCTGGCCTTCCCCGGTCTTATTGGTCTCACTTAGTGGTCACCCCAGCAGGAGGAGAGCACTATTGGCATTGGTCAGTGGTGTCCCGTGCATTGCAAGACATTCAGCATTCCTGCCCGTCATTATCTAGTGCTTCTATAACAGAAATACCACAAGCCAATGGCTGTAGCAAACAATATATTTCCTGCAGTTTAGTAGGTGAGAGGTCTGAACTCAGAGCTCTGCTGTAGGCAAAGGCTTTCTCTGTGGGCTCTGGAGGAAGTTCTCTGTCTCTTTGGCTTCTGCTTCCTGGTTCCTTGGAAATTTCCATGTGTCTTGGCACCTATCTTAACCCATGTCTCTCTCTCTGCTCAAGAGACTCAAGACACACCCTACATTAATCCTGCCTCGTTAACATAACAAAGACAACCTATTCCCAAATGGGATTATAATGACAGGTAGAACCAAAAAACCAAAAACCAAACTCAATGCTGTGGTTGTTGTTATGTGCCTTCGAGTCAGACCCGACTCATAGCAACCCCTCCTTGGGTTTCCAAGGCAGTATCACTATGGAAGTAGATTGCCCAACCTTCCGTCCAAGGAGCGGCTGGTGGGTTTGAACTGCCAGCCTTCTGGTTGGCAGTCAAATGCCTTAGGCACTATGTCACCAGAGCTCCCAACAATAGGTAGAGAGATTAGGATTTACAACACATATTTTGGGGGGACATAATTCAATCTGCAACATGCTACCTGCTCACTCAATGCCAGTTGGGGATCTACCCTCAGTCACTGTCACGCCATTTGAGGGTCTATTCTTAGTTGCTGTCACAGCTTCAGCAATCATCTTACAGCCAATATATCACTACCTCAAGCCCTCAGGCCCTTCCTGGTCTCAGAGCCCAAATTTCCTGTCTCATTCTGGTCATTTTCTCCAGGACCTCTGTGCCATACCACAGCAAGTCCCAACCCGAGCGAGCTCATCTCCCACTAGCTCCCACTCTGACCTAACCTGGTTCTAACCGCTGTATGGCCCTCCCAGCCACCCCAACACCCAGGCCACAAACCAGGGATTCCGCCTCAACTGAACCCCTACCCAATTCCCTCATCCAATCACCACTAGGGATTTTACCTCTTAAAATCTCAACTTCATCCATTTCTATCTCCACGGATACTGACGTAAGTCAGGTCCCTTTCACTTCTCACCTGGATTCCTGCCACAGCTGCCTCACTGCCCCCTTGCCTCTAGGATGTTTAGTGCCTGGACTCTGGAGCCAGACTGCCTGGATTCAAATCCTGGCACTGCCACTTAATAGCTGTGCAACCTAGGCTGACCAAGTTAATCTTCCTGGGCCTGAATTTTACATAAAATGGGCATTAATAGTGCCTTTCTCAGGAATGATTCTGAGTTAAGACACGTAAAACAAAAAAATCGCTTGCTGTCAAATGTATTCCAGTTCATGGCTCACATGTGTCAGCATAGAACTGTGCTCCACTGGGCTTTCAGTGGCTGATTTTTCAGAAGTACATAGTCAGGCCTTTCTTCTGAGGTGCTTGTGGGTGCTTGAACCGCCAACCTTTAGGTTAGTTAACCATTTGCAACACACATAAAGCACTCAGTAAATGTTGGCTATTATTAGTCTCCTCCTCTCCGATCCACCTCCACACAGCAGCAAGACATAATCTGACCAGAGAAGTCCTCCTTCGTGGCTCCCCACTTCCTCAGAAGTCCCAATTCTCAAGCCCCAAGGCTCCACAGGTCCATCTTCCTTCCAGGTCATAAATACCCATTCTTTCTCCAATACACCTGGCACATCTGGCCTCTAAGCCTTTGATTATGTTCTTTTCTGTACCAAAACATGTTGTTGTTTTGCCGTCGAGCCGGCCCCAACTCATAGCGACCCCTCCTTGGGTTTCCGAGGCAGTATCACTATGGAAGTAGATTGCCCAACCTTCCTTCCGAGGAGTGGCTGGTGGGTTTGAACCGCCAGCCTTCTGGTGAGCAGTCAAGTGCCTTAGGCACTATGCTACCAGATACTCCCCCTAATTTCTTCTGGTCAAAGTCCTGATTTTCAATCCCCAGCTACAATGCTGCCTCCCCTAAGAATCCTTCCCAACACTCTCCAAGCCCAACTCTGCCTCCCCTGTATGCCTAGTCCATCACATCCTAGGGACAGGCATTTGCTTCCTGTATCACATATTTTTGAATTCCAAGTTCAACTTAGTCTGGTCACCAGCAGAGGCTCCATGCAACCCAGCTAAATTCCAGCATTCCCAGTCCTCCAAATAGTGACTCAGCTGAGGGTGGGCTGACACTGGGCATACCCACAGTCCCTGGAACAGCAGGCTGTGAACCCTGAGGTGAACTCTTCCACCTACCTGTTTCTGAAATCCCTCCTAAGTGCTCCTCCTCTAGTTCTTGGCTTGGGTCAGAGGGTCAGGGACAGTGTCATATGCAGGGCTGGCCAAGCCAGGGACCTCACCAAGGCAGCTGAGGGCAGGAGGGGGCTCCCTGTCTTAGCCAAAGCCCTGTCCACTTTTTCTCTGATGACTAAAAGCACAATCCAGTGGTCCTAGTAGGCTCTGGGGTCAGGGAGGGTGGGGTGGAGGACAAGGCCACCTCCCCTCAATATTTCCCTCCCGCTCTGGAGTTGAGGCCCTTGCCCCAGCCTCTGCCCTGCCAGGGTTGGCTGTGACTTTGGGCCAAATCCTCCCCTCGGGGGCCTGGGTCTCCTTTATCAAGGGAAAAACTCTTTGCAGCTCCAACGTGTAACCATGTGAATACTGACTCTAGATTTTGAGTGTGGAGTCAAGGTGCAAAGGATCGGGGACAAGAGGACTCAGGGGTCCAGGGCATGGGGAGAGGTCAGATTTTTACTACTTTGATCCCATTATTGCCTGCCCACCCCCACCACCATTTCACATGGGCCCACAACCAAAGAGAAAGGGAGAGTTTATTGAAAACTATATACAGTTGGTCCAACCCCTACACAGGCTGCAACCTGGGCTGTCTCTCCCACACCTCAGGCAGTGTATCAGCCCCTGATGGTGATGGCTGGGGCTGAGGTCAAGGCCCAGACTCCCTTGGGAAGTCTAGCAGCCATACCCCACCAAGGATCTTCATCTATGAGGTGGCAGGCAGGTAACAGGAATCCCTGCTCTGACTAAATCACAGTCTGGGTAAAGGAGCACTATTCTGAACCTTGGGCCTAAGAGGGCCCAGCTAGGTGGCCTGGAAGACCTGACTGCTCCTCTCACAGGAGGCCTTCCTGGACATGGAAGCAAACATCCCCCCTATCACCCACCCCATGTACCAGGCCCCATGGGCTTCATGAGGCTTGGACTGAGGACATCAGTCACCTTCCCTCCCAACACTGACTCAGGGTGCAGGGCTCTGAAGCACTCCCCGAGCAGAAGACCTGGGGTTGAGAAGTGAGTGCTGGGGAGGCCATGGGGGCTCAGGTCCAGAGCCTCCTGGGCCAGGGGGTAATTTGGGAATCAGGGTGTCCCACTGTAGGAATAGTCAGCTTTATTGTGCATCACCAGCCGGTCATCGACGAAGTAGAAGCTGTCAGACTGTGTTTCATACGGGTGACGGATCATCTCGCCGACTGCAAGAGAGGCCCGGCCAGGCCGGACAAAGGTCAGGACCCTGAGCTAGGCCAATAAAGGGGCTTCAGGATTAGGGTGGGGTGGGAGAGATAAACTGAATGACCCCAGAATACACCCCAGGCTCTTTGAGCCTCAATTTCCCAACAGGTGACATGGGAATGGTGACCAAAGCATCTGGTGCCACCAGACACAAAAGAGACTGAGGGTGGGAGGAAAAGGGATCAACCCATATGCAACCCCACCCTGTCAGCTTGGTCTGCACCCACCCCACGCTTGCAAGGCCCTGCCCACGCACTCAGCTCCTCCGAGAGTGGGGGGAAGTCGTAGATGTGCTCGCATGTGTTCTTGCTGCTGGGGATGCAGAAGCCAAAATGGAAGTCAAAGCTTTTAAGTAGCTGATTGCGGAAGTAGTGCCTCTCGATCATGCGGAAGTTGTTGACAGGCTTATCTCCCACTGTGAACTCCACCCTGAGAGAAGCAAGGGGGCAGGGCTAAGTCTGGCCTGGAAGTCAGCCAGCTGGGCTCAAGACAGACTGCTCTTCAAAGAGGCTCAGGAAGAACTCAAAAAGGTCTCACTCCCACCCCCAGCCTCACCCCCCCCCCCACCCCCACCCCTCGCCCCTGCCCAGTGACTCACGTGGCTCCCACCTGCCTCAGGCGGAGGAAGGCAGGCGTGAACTGGTAGCGGACAAAGCGCCCAGCATTGGGGTCCAGATCCCTCCGGTTGATGGGCAACCGCTCTGCAATGTACCCCAGGTGGGGCTCAGTGAGCTTCAGGCTGGAGCCCTTGCCCACCCAGTACCTGTCTTCCAGGGTCCCTATCCGTATTTTTAAAGATCTCTTCAAAAGACCCTGATGCATAGTGAGGGTTCAGAACCAGCAGAATGGCTCTTTCACTTGCGGGTTCCAGGTCAGCAGGTCACCAATTTCTACTGTGCCTCCCAGGGCCACAGGGAGCACAAAGGCCTGGGACCCTTGGGACTGCCATTTGCAGGGAGGCCTGCAGGGGGCAGGCCAGCAGGGGTTGAAGGGGCAGAGCTGTCTTCCCAAGATAGGGAATCCCAGAGTCCAACCCCAGAGGTAGATGGGAAGGAAAAGAAGACCCAGCTCCAGGCCAAAGCTCCTTGCCCAGAGACCCCTAAGAATGCTGGGGTCCAAACTTCAGCTCTGCTCTCTCTCCTCTGTGGCCTGAAGATTCCCTGGGCAGCCTCTTGCATTGCTCACCCACCTCCCACCCCGATGGCCCACGGAGGCCGCTCACCTGAGGCTGGGGGCTTTTTGATTTCAAAGAGGACAGTGCCTGAGTCCATGTCCCGAATCTTGAACCTGATGAAGTCGATTTTGTAGATATTCTCCTCAGGGGAGCACAGGTAGTCTAAGGGAGGCAGGCAGCTGAGCAAGGAAAAATCCCACCCAGAAGCCCCTCCTGCCAGCTCAGCATCTGGGGGAACCTCCGACTACCATTTTCTCTGACCTCTAGGGTTAGTGCCCTCCAGAAAAAAAGGAATTGAGACCTTACCCTGGGGGAGCCCCCACAGTGTAGGGGAGAGAGCGAGCGAGCTCTGCTGTTGGGATCTAATAGAGGACAAACAGCCCCATCTTACTGGTCTCTGGGGGACAGGGAGGAGCAGGGCATAGAGACGCAAAGGACAAGGCCACCTGCCTTACATCTTCCCTCCCATACTGGACTTGAAGGTCCTTATTCCAGCCTCTGCTGTGCCAGGGTTGCTGGTGACTCTGGGTCAAATGGGTCTCCAACCTGACGTGGATCCACCGGCACGAATGAGAAAACAGATCTGCCTTTGGGAACCTCACTGATGGGGTGATGCAGTTCTGCCTTGGGAGAGAGACAGTCCTCTGCAGGGCCCCCCTCCCCTATTCATAGCTGCCCCTGGCACTACAGATGTGTGAAGGGACTCTCCTTGATGTGGGTAGTGCTGGGACAGATGAACCCATCTCCAGGTCCTCTTTGCTGCCCCCTCAACCTCCACCTCTCCCTATAAGCACCTTATACAAGCCCAGCTCCCCTAAGCAGCTTAGCCAAAGCTCTGCTGACTGAAGCCCAGAGCCTAGAATATTGGGGGAAGTGGGCCAACTTTGCTGCTACCCTCTGATGACCTCCACATGGGAGGAAGTCTTATCAAACAGAGCAAACCCTCCTTGAATATCATCTGTGCAGCCTTGGCTCTAAGCCAGACCCCATAGAGAAGGGTACTCTCCTACCCCCCATAGCTGGGCCAGGAAGAGGAAGTGGCAGGTGTGGCGAGGGGTGGAGATGAGGCTAAGGGGAGTTCTCAGGCCTGCTCTGACCATCACTGTTCTTGCAGCAGCAACTGGTAGTGCTCAGGAGGCCTTGATAACAAATAGGGAGGAGCAGAGAGGCGTAGTGGGGGGCTTGGTGCTTTCAGCCTACACAGCATCACATCCTCCCCTAGCGGCCCACAGAGGCCTGGAAATCACCCCCCAGGCCCCTGGCTACTTTCTATTCCTCTGGGACAGGAAGAGGAAGTGAATGTAAAGTCATTCTCTCTTTCCCAGGTCTGCTTCTTCCCCAAGCCTGGGACAGCCCCCTCCAGGAAGCCCTCCTGGCAGCCATCTATCACCTTGGGGCCCAACACAGGGACTACACAAGGCTCAAGGAGAGGCCTGAGCCTTGGTCTGTCAACCACAGCCTACAGAAAAAGGAGATGAAAGGAGGCAGTCCCAATCTCCATCCTATATACACCTTATCTTCACAGAAAGCACTTGTCCAAAGATGTAGAATGAAGGCACAGAGCAGAGAGAGAGAAGGTGGGAGAACTGGGAGCAGGATCCTAGCTACCTGAGTCCCAGTCCCCCACGAAGCCCTCTCTTCTTCCCCACTCTCCAACTTCTGGGGCCTCTCCTCTCACTTGTAACAACATCTTGCCATCTGACTTCAGTCTCTCCTACTACAAACCCAACCTATTAAGCATTCTGTCCTTAGAGGAAGTGAGGAATGGGGGGTGTCCGTAGCTCAGAACAGCACAGCCACTCCCTCCTTTCTGCCAGCCAGGGATGAGGCCTGGGGCCAGGGTCAGGCCAAAATAAGGGGGAGAGTGGCTGAGGGCTCAAAGCGTAACTCCTCTCCTCCCTTCACCTAAAATAGTTTCCTAAGCTGGATTCAGGGCCCCATAATCCAGGAACAGCAAATCTCAGACCTCTGTGATTAGGGTCAGAAAAGATCAGGCAGGGGGTGCTAGGGCAGAGAGCCTTAGAACTCTGTTTTCAATTCTGCAGAGGACAGAGCTCCCATGAAGCCCCTTCCCCTCCTCAGAGATACCCTATCTATGGGCCATGAATTTCCTCCACATGATAAGACACATGGTGGTACATGGGTTGGGAGTCCCCTGTAGTTATAAAAGTTACTCAGAACTCAGGCAGGTCAGCATGAGCTCCTGACATCCCATGAGGAAGTTCTGCCCCAGAGCTAAGCTGGATCCTAAATGCCACTGTTGCCAACTGCAGTCCAATTGGCACTAACATCAGCCTGGTGCAGACCCTCTCCTTCCACCTGTGCCTGCTTGGATAAAAGAGCTCAGCCCTCCAGGGGCCCAGCCAAGGACGGCTGCTGCCTGGCTAGGAGAAGAGAGAGGTGCTGGGGCCCTAGGGACCCAGGTGCACAGACACAGGCCTGCAACTGTGGTCCCTTCCACAGCTATCTGGGAGCCCTAGGCTCTGCTGCTCCTGCAGGTCCACTCCAATGCCTGTCCCCCAGCCCCACAGAATGGGGCCCAATAGTTGCTCTCATAGAGGAAGCCAGAGCAGGGCTACTGACAAATAAAGCCAAGGTGGAGAGCAACTGCCTCCCCAAATGCCTCTTGTTCTTCCAGGCTATGCCATCTCCTCTGCCATGAAGTTCCTTAGCCCTTGTCCTTTGCCCATAGTGCCACCCTGAATGCCCAGTTGCCTGCCTCCAGCCATGAGCAGCCTGGTGTGCCATCAGTACTACTGATAAGAGTCCTATTTACACAGCAGTGCGTCAGGCACTGTGTAAAGTCAGAGGATTCGCTTAGCTTCCCAGTAACTCTCTGAGACAGGTGTTAACCTATTTTACAGGTGAAGCAACATGCTCGGAAAGGTGAAGTTACTTGCCCAATGTCACACAACCAACTGCATGACAAAGTTGGGACTCAAATACAGCCAGTTCAGCTCAGAAACTCCTAAGTGTTGACTAGGCCTCCTTTGGCGATGAGTCTTGCAGAGAAAGAGGACAGACCCTGGTCCAGACCCAAGGGCATTAACCGACTCCCTGGCAGGACCCAGAGTTAACCCATTGAAGCTTCCTGCTCAGTTTCTTTCCTGGGAAGGAGGATAGCCCCCGTCTTCCTGAAGGGCTCCAAGGTGACAGCAGTAATGGTGAGGGAGACCTTAGTATGCTTGAGGCCACCAAAGCAGCTCAGTCTCCACCCAGCCTCCAGGGCAGGGGCTGAGGCCTCAAAGGGCGCCTAGGGTACCGTGGAGAAAGGGGCCACAACTGCAGCTCCCACCCCACCTTCACCATGAGAAAGGGGATGAACTCCCCCAAATAATACATCTCCAAAGGGAAAACAGGGGGTACACAGGGAGATCAAGGAAAGGGGGGACATGGAGATCCCGGGCTTGGAGGCATGTAAGAGAGGAGAAGTAAATGTAGGGGAGGGGACCCAGAAGAGGAAGGGGAGTCAGGGAAGGACGGGAAGGGGGGCGGGGGCTGGGCTCCGCGCGCCGCGAGGGTCCCCCCTCCCGTTCGCATTCCCTCCCGCCCGCTCCTCGCCACTGCTCACCGCCCGTGATCCGCTGTAGCCCCAGCACGTCCTCCGGCCCGATCGGCTGCTTGCCCTGCAGCGGCCCCGGCCTGGGCCCCAGGCCCGCCTCTGGCTCCGACTCGGACCCGGATTCGGATTCTGCCTGCGACTTCGGCTCTGGTTTGGGATCCACGCTCGGGCCCGAGGCCCCTAGAGCGGGCTCCGCCCCCGTCTCGGCCCCGCCGCCGCCCTTCTTCACCTTCATGGCCTCGCGGGCCCGCAGCTCTCCCGCTGCCGCCGCCGCTGCCTGCGCCGGCTGGAGCGGGGGGAAGAGGGAAGCGTCCGCAGCCCCGCCCACAGCAGGGGCCCCAGGTACCGCTCCGCCCCGGCCCCCCAGGCCCCTCCCCTGGGGTGGGCCCGGCCCTTACTCCACCCACCCGGCAAGGCCCACCGGGACCCAAGATTTGTGGGTACCGCCCACCAGGGCTCTTAACCCAGGGTACGGTGAGGGGTCGCCTTGGGCTTCATTCATTTTTCATTTGGCACTTTGAGGGGGGGTCCTGCCTACCTCTCCTCCAGCACACGCTGCGCTCCAGTCCCTCTGCCCTTCTCACTGCCCTACAGTCATCAAGCGAGTTCCAGCCTCAGAATCTTTGCCTGGGTTGCTCTTTCCCCATATGACCTATCCTTGTTATTCTGGTCTTACCTTTAATGTCAAAGATCCTATCACATCCAACCTAAAGTACACCCCTCACTCCCAATCGTTAACTCATCAGCCTACTTTTTCTAACACATGCTTTGAAAGATCAGCTAAGTGGATGCAGACACTGCTGTTTCCTATTATGCCCCCAGCAGCCCCCAGCAGCTAGATAAGCCCATAGCAACCAGTGCTCAGTAACTTTTCCTTTTTTGAATTGATGAATGAGGACTTTCACTGGTACAAATTATTCTCTCCAACTCCCTGCTAAACACAGATGTAGCCAACAGCATTGTTGGTTAACTACCCAGGACACCCAGAGGGACAAGAGCACATGGCCAGGTAGAGGTTAGGTGGACTTGATACCGACAATTAAAAAAAAAAAAAGATACCAGATAACTGCTACTTACACGTAAATGAAGGAAGAATTAAGAATATGATCATACGTTGTACCATTTTAATTCATATCCAACCAATGTTTATTGAGAACCTAGCATGTGCCAGACACTTTCACAGGTTTTATCACATCTAATATTCACAACAACCTAGTAGAAGTGTGTGCTACGTTGAAAACAAGGCAGAAGTACAAGCTGCTCCTGCCCGCAGAGAGAGGTAGGGAGGGCCTTTCAAGTTCAAGCCAGATGATGCCATCCTCTGAGACTCCTGGAAGCATGAGGAACAGGAAGGCAGAGAGCTCTTAGCCAGGCAATGGGAAGGGAAGACGAACCCATCTTTGAGTGTTGTACTTTGGTTGCTAGAAAGGCAACAGAGGAGACTGGAGACAAGTCATTGCTGGCAGGCCCCATTTATGTGCCTCTCGATCTAACACCTCCGACCTGGCCTGAAAGGAAGGGTCCCTACTGAGATGCCGCCCTGCTCAGTCTATCTTCTCAGGCTTCTTCCAGGACTTGCGGGTCTCCAGAAAGATCTTGACCAGGGATAGGAAGATAGGCACAGCCATAGGCAGGAAGAGCGGGATATAGATAGCAAACTTCTGGTCATCAGGAAAATAGAGGAGATGGAGGAGTGAGGGGTCAAAAAAGGCGCGCTCCGAGGACGTCACAGCTTCCTGGCTGGCAAGGAAGGCAGAGGCCAGGTGTCCAGTGGCCAACTCCTCTGCTGCCTTCTGGACTGCAGCTACTGCCCTGTACACCTAGGAAGGGGGGGACAGAGTTAAAATAAGTAAAAACTGGTAAGGTGGGGAGGGCACTGGGCTTATAATGGGCCTTCTGCCCTCTAGGGAGTTGGCCTGAAGTTCATCTAGGACAAATGGAAGTCAGTATAATAAAAGGGTGCTGGGTGTATTTTCTCAGGGCCTGCTCAAAACCTCACTCTCCCATTTGGGCTCCCGAGATGGCATGCCCACACACACCCTGGACTCCAGATAGCTCTCTCTGGTCTCACTATACCCTGGCCCTCACTGACTCTCAGAGATGGCATGCCCACACACACCCTGGACTCCAGATAGCTCTCTCTGGTCTCACTATACCCTGGCCCTCACTGACCTCTCCAGTTCTAGACCACAGAATCCAGTCCCTGGCCATGTACCTCAGAGGCCACGTCGTCCTTGATGACAATGTTGCTGATCTTGCCCAGAAGCTGGGCCAGAGAGGTGAGGGTGGTGGTGGCTGTGGCCAGGTTCTCCACTGACCGAGCCCAGAGCAGCCGGTCCAGCTCCCAGCTCATCAGCCCATCTCTGTTAGGCCCGGAAAGCAGGCATTTTGGAGGCACCTGGGGCTGCGTAATCCCAAAGAGCAGCCTGTAGGAACAGCCAGTAAGTTCAAGGTAGCTAAGACCAGAAGGTGGGAGAAGATTCCTAGAAGAGGTGCCCTAAGTCAATGATTTCAACCTTACCCGAACCACAGGGCTTATAAGGCAATGCCTCAGGGTCTCGAAGAGTGAGCAGCAGCAGCAAGCAATCCAGAGCCTCGACCCTGCTTCCCCCAGTGTCTCAGCTGTCACCCGTCCCTACATTGGATGTCCAAGATCTTGTATGTGGAAAGGGTCCACGGCTGACAAACTTCTGATGACACCAACTGTCACGGACTGAACCGTGTTGCCCCAAAATATGTGTCAATTTGGCTAGGCCATGATTCCTAATACTGTGTGCCTGTCCAGTGCTTTGTGATCTCATTATCCTCCATTTTGTGATTTGCTGTAAGTCCTGACCTCTATGTATTAATGAGGAGCTCTGGTGGCACATTGCCTGAGGCATTTGATTGCTAACCAGAAGGCTGGAGGTTCAAACACACCAGCCACTCCAGGGAAGGAATATGGGGCAATCTACTTCCATAAAGATTTATCACCTCAGAAACCCAATGGGGGTTGCTGTGAGTGGGCTTTTTTTTAATGTGTTAATGAGGCAGCATTAGTTTATATTTGTTATCTTAAGGAGGTAGGATTAGGGTAGGATACAACACCCTTACTCAGGTCACAGCCCTGATCTACTTAGGGGGAGTTTCCCTGGGATGTGGCTTTTATCTTACAAGACATAAAAGGAGAGAGAAGAGAGCAGACAGAGGGACCTCAATACCACCAAAAAAGAAGAGCAAGGAGCAAGTCCATCCTTTGGACCCAGGATCCCTGTACCGAGAACCTCCTAGACGCTGGGGGAGACTAACGCTAAGACACATGGAGATCTCCAAGGAACCAGGCCCAGAGATGTTGAAAGGAGACAAGGATCTTCCCCAAGAGCCAACAGAGAGAGAAAACCTTTCCCTAGAGCTGGCCCCCTGAATCCAGACACATCCAATCTCCTAACCTGTGACAGAATAAATCTGTTTGTTAAAACCATCCGCTTGTGGTATTTCTGTTACAGTAGCCCTAGATAACTTAGACACCCACTTTAATTTAATCTTTTACCCTCTCTTTGGAGAAATGGGGCCACTGGGACTTAAGAATTAAAGGATGATCCAGGACCATCTTTAACATAAAGGTACGTGTGCTGTGCCTCTCTAATCCTACACCCATGCCAGACATATCTAATCAATCAGAATACTCTTTTTCTGATGAGCCCAGCCACAGCCTTAGAATTCTCAACACAAGGCTTCAGGCAGCCATTATCAATCCATTAGTTAGTAAAAGAATTAACAGCTATTTTCTTAAGCACAACTAACCATGCCTCATGAACCTGATATTCAGGTCCACTTTTCTCAAAATAGGTTTTGTGAGCAACTAGTCCTACTTAGAAAAAGGATGAAACAATTCTTGGAAACCTCACTTGGCTTCCCAGTGGCTCTAGGTACATCCCAAGTGTCCCCGACAGATAAGAGCTCATTCTGACTACAATCTCCCTCTAGAACTAAGGACACTGTGGGCAGACTTTCAGTGGCCACACCCCCCAAATGGAACACCCAGGGCCTCACCGCAACTGAGCCAGGAACACCTCCATCACTCGTACCATGTCCACCTCGACTCTCAACGGCAGCCCCGAGACATTGTAGGCTTTGGGGTCAACGTTGTATACCTGAAAGGGGGAAGGAGACTGCTGGCACACCACATCAGTCTGTTCATAGTAGCTCTTCCCTAAGTACTCGGAGGTTAGGAGAAAAAAGGAACAGTCTCTGCTCTTTAGAGACTATAAACCTGATGGTATAGCTAATAATTTTTGAGAGGTACTCAGCTGCTAGCTGCAAGGTCAGTGGTTTGAATCTACCAGCAGCTCCATGGTAGAAAAGACCTAGCAATCTCCTCCAGTAGAATGACGTCCTAGGAAACCCTATGTGACAGTTCTACTCTATCCTACAGGATCACTACTGAGTTGGAATCAACTCAATGGCACAAAACAACAAAAACTACTGTTAGGAATTTACAAAAATTACCTCTATCATTTCCTCAAAAGTCCTATAGAATAAATTTTTAAAATCTCATTTTAGAGTTTTCACCCATGAGAAACTCCCATTCTAAAAGGGGAGGCGAAGTTCCCAACCTTGCAAGACTCCCACAAACAGGGCCAAGACCTGAGATATACACAGAATGGTTATAAATAAGTGCAAACTACTAAGTGCAAAAGGGTCCTACGGAGCAACAGCACTGACCAAAATAGGAAAGAGTGGTGCTGACAGAGGAGTGCCACGAGCACACAGCCTCCTCACCTCCTTGGTGCCTGCCCCTTCTGCAGGCTGGGCCACAGAGGTCACCAGAAGCAACAGAAGGAACAGTCTCAGGGGACATCCGTCTCCCTGAAGCAGAGTCTGGTATGATTATTACCATAATGCCACCCCAGCGGGGACTGTGGAAGGCATTGGTGGACACTGGAACCCCATCCTTGTCCTGAATGTGGAGGGGGGAGTGGGCAAGCTCAGGCACGTAGAGTAGAAAGTTGAGCACAGGGTAGAGGGAAGCGGCACTGGATCCTGTGATGCAAAGAGAAGGGCAGGTAGAAGACCAACACCCCGGACCTGCTCCAAGTTCCAGGCCAGCCACTAACTCGCTGCTCACCCACTATGGGCCTCAGCTTCACCAACTGAAAATCTCTAGGATCTCCTCCAGTCTTGGGTTTCTGTGGTGTAGGACCTCTCGATATTCTCCCACTATATCACATGGATGAAGTACAATCCCGGGTCCCTACATGCCCTGGAATCTCCCCTCCTTTACGAGACCCTCT